AAACAAAAGCTATTAGTTGAATTTGGTCCAATAATAAATCTACAAATTTAAATGTTGATCGGCTGATTAAACAAGACACTTACCCTGTAAACCTCCTTGGTGTCCAAGTCCCACATCTTGATTATCTGTCCAGCTGAAAGCAGCAGTTTGCCATCGTGGCTCACACACAAACTGGTCACTGCCGCACGGTCTGCCTTCCACTTACTGTGTCAGCATGAAGAGACAATGACAGTGGTTGGTGCATGTGTTTATCCATTTGGGTGAAGGTTTATATTCTGACTGCATTTTCATCGGATTCTCTCTTTTCTTTTTTGACATTACTCAACAGCACCTTCAGCCATACCTGCTTTATTGTCCATTACTGCCAGATCCACATTGTATTTTCTCGCTCCTGTTTTCTAATGCAGCATTTTTCATATCTAAGTGAGGAGCCTGAATTTTTACAGCTACATTCAGAGTACTATTTACTGTGGTACTCCACCTGACAGCAGCAGGAAATACACAGAAAACTCACCACTCTCCAAAACCATTTCGTGGACTACAAATGGGCTTTAGTGAGCATGAAGTGAGGAGTCATGGTGACATTACAGGTAATGATTGTACTTTATTTCATTGTAGAGCTGTGTGCAGCGCATTGATTCACTCAACCCCTCCTTCTGACTTGGATGAAAATGTCTCCAATGAGCAGTGTTATTTTCCTGGAAGGACGTTCACCCACTCCTCACTGAACTATGCCACCCCTTATTTTTCTCTGCACCTCAAATGGGTTTTGAACTGATTGGAAGGATTGATTAACTTAACATATGCTTTTACTGCTAAATTTGGTGAGAGGCAGCTTGAGTTTGTTTTTTTTCCAGATGTGTTTATACCTTGGTGTGATCACATCAACTCTTTTCTGTTTGACAGATTAACAATGACATCAGATTGCGTTACACTGTATGAATGTAAACGACATCTGCTAGTCAATCCATTCATATAAAACACTGGAACCTAATGCAGCGTTATGGATGAGTGAACTAAAGAGGAGCAGAAATAAGCACAAAGCAGGCAGCAGTCTGAATTAATGCTGACACTGAGTGAGTGGAGTTAACAGAGATGCTTTGGGTTAAAAAAGTCCTGCTGTTGACTGAATACTGCATTTGGGCTTTAGTTGTTGGTCCACAATTGGGATGAACAGGTCTCAGAAATCCCATTCTAAAACTTTTTCCAACAAGAGCTCCAGACCAACATTCCTGTCTCCACAAATATTTTACACTGATATCTGTGAATGAAGATGACAGTTCCTCACAGTGTTTTAAAGTGAAATATATTACCTTTGGCGAAAACAAGTAGAGCAACAAAGACCACACGTTTCAGGAGTGAGTAGACCTTTTCAGGTGCATTAGGATGCGTCTGATTCAGCTCAGGAGTTGACTGACAGATCAATCACATTGTACATTACTATGCTGCGAGTATGTAGAGCAGCATGTGTGGTATTGAGCAAAACAAACGTCCAAATTTTTACAAGTGGGACAATTCAAGGCAATCGGCTCAGTAAGAATCAGGTGGGAGAAAGGAAAATTCATTGCTGTCACTCAGAGTATGTATCGAGCAGGAGTTTAGCAAAGAGTAGTAAAAAGCTGTAAACAATCAACTTTGGATGTGTCCATGAAAACTTCCAGGCTTGACATTTAAAGCACTTTCACCAGTTACAATGACAAAAGTAACAGGCAGAAGATCAGATCAGCTGTGAGTGCGACTAAGAGTGGACTGTGTGTTTTTGTAGTTCAGCAAGAGCAACAGAGTGGAGGAATGACAATGAAATGTGAAAGAGGCATATGACGATGTGTTTCTGGTAACCCTGGTAGATCATCAGAAAACACATCTTCACAGTCTAAGACAGACTGAACAGAAAACATCTTTACAATTTCAGGTAGATTAAGTGGTTTAAAGTGGGATGAACTGAAAACAGACTATTTTTATTTATTATTTCTCCCCGTTTGTTTGGCTCTGTAGGACAGTCTACAGTTTTCTCTGGATGTGATGCATTATTTCTCTTTTAAAACATCGAATATCATCCAATTTAGATTTTTAGCAGAACAATGTGATTCTATGTAGTAGGAGACAAACCAAAATTGTGTTCCATGTTGATTTTTTTTAAATTCACTATCCTCTCTGACAAAGTAGGCACTGACCTTCGCATCTTTCCTGTCTGCAGGTCCCACTCAATAATGTTTGTATCATCTGAACCACTGTATAATAAACTGTCGTCAGGGTGCCACTGGACACAATTCACTCCTCCACTATGGCCTCCATCCTGCCAGAGACAGAAAATTACAGTTAGAAGCGATAAACAATTTGTTCCATTATTCAATAGTGAAGACTTTAAATGCCCACAATATGCCCACACTCTAAGTTATTTCTGAACAGTCCAGGATTTCCCCCAGGAAAATTGTTAGTCTAAGTAACTGCATATCAGAGGTGTTGATTTTCAAGGCTGTAGTTTGTTGTATTGTTGACCTTTGATTGTATTATAACATATTGTATTTCTATCCAACTTCAGCCTCAGTGATGAACATGTCTGACACTGTTTCAACAACTTTAGCTACATAAATTGAGGATATGTTTTGTATCATTAGCTCAGTTTAACAGTATGGATTGATAAAGCCAAAGATTTCTTACTCTGACAAAGTCAAATTCATTTGCAAATTACAGGTTCTCTACATACTACAATAAAATTCAAGGATCTGTATGAAGCAATCTTTCACAGTTATAAAAAAAAAACTGTGATATAATGTGCTTTTCATTCCACTTCTATAAGACATGGTGTAAAATACATCACAAAACACAAATCACTGTCAAACTCACCAGAGTACAGTGCAGTGCTCCCTTTGCTGTACTGTAGATGAGCACAGTGCCCGCTGCTGTGCCCATCGCCAACAGGTCTGCCTTCTCCTCCACCTGGTCCACCTCTGATTTCCTCTTCTTCCTCCGCGGCCCTTCCTGAAACACAGCACACTGGTACTGTTAACCCTACCTACACATGATGAATTATGGCATAAATATTAGCGTCCTTGGTATTCTTTGACTTAACGTTACCAATTCTAATGATAATTTAAGAATTTACTTAACAACTTGCAGGCTAATAATGTTAGTAATAAGGGTAAATATCATGGACACAATAAACTCATTCCAAACAATACTAAAATGCGTATTAATTGAATTGTTGTCATACAATTATATTCCTTTACTAGTGCTCAAGTTAAAACTAATTGGCACTAGACTCACTGAGGTAAAACTTTTTGAATCTCTCCAGCCCTAAGTGTCATGGTGGCACACGCTTCTGAAGCTTTGGCGAGCTAATGCTAACTTAAATAACGAGTTTATTTGCATTACTAACGGTCCAAAGACACTGATAAATTATTGGTCTGACTGATGTACATGAGGTAGGTATTCTTTAAAATTTATTCACTCTGAAACGACAATTTTAGACATTGTCCATGTTTTATACGACTACCATGTGGGACTAACATGTGCGTCTTGCGCAGCTGTTAAGAGCTAGCTAACGGCTAACGTGGCTCCCCTGCTAACCCAGTCTGTCAGCACATGAAAAGGTCTGCATTAACGTACAGCCGAGGGTTTCGAGGTTTCTGAGCACATTAATTTGTGAATAGTAACACAATTCTTGTTTTAACGCACACACTTCTATACGAAACTCTCTCACAGACAGCTTGCTCAGGCCTCGCTAGCTCATGTAGCTAACATCAGGGAAATCCTCATCAGCCTCACGTACCTTGACTGTCCGGCATGGTCCCCAGGCTATGCAGGTACAAGTGGCACTCAAATGGGCTGAAGGCACATACTCTTGATGAAGTGTTTTACTATCTGTGTTCCAAATGCGAAGTCTACCATCCTGGGCACACAATGCTAAGTACTGTCGTGATTTGGGTGAAAAAACGCAGGGTAGCTGCAGCGCAGAGCTGCCAGCATCAGCCGCCATTTCTGAAGCGCTGCTTGCATCTGCGTGCGTGGTTTACACAAACCACGTGTGGCCGTCTGAGCACATGCGCGTTAGCGCGTCAGGAGCAGCGTCAGGAGAGCGTCAGGAGCACCGAGGAGCACCACCCTCCCATTGGCTGCTGCCAGACAACAAACAGGTTGTTTGATGCTGCCTTCAAGTCGAGGCTACCGAGTCAGAGGTTGTATATATCACATTTACAACCGGTCGATGCATTTACGTCCTTTCGATCGAAAATAACAACAAAACTAAACAAAAGTAAACAAAAGAACTGACGACGTTACCTAAGTATTCCAATTTGTTTTTATCAGTACCAATGAATAATACAATATGTGCGTATTTATCTCTGCATCACATCTCATTGGGGGAAGGTGTACTGTGGAAATAACTACGACTTTTTACAGTACTTGAACGCAGCAACAAATAAATGAAACTTAACTGTAAATCTTATTTTGTGGGCCTGTTTTTGATGTCACCTGCATTTTACATAACCCAAGCCACTAACTCACTGTACGTGTGGTCAATTTTCATATTTCTTGAAGTGGAAAATCAAATTTCTTCCAGAAAAACACGCCTTTATTTGAAGTTGTCCATCACTCTGAAAATTTTAGGTTGCAATTTACATTAATTCACTAAAACAGATAGTTTCTTGAAGTGTATTACATTAGGTTGCATTTGAATAATCTGAATACATTGTTCTGTGACTCTAGTGTTACTAATAGAAAATGTAGAAGATTTTTATAATTGCCTCGATTTCCAAAAAACCTGGAGCATTACAAATGTAAAGAAAACTAAAGAAATCTTTAAATATATTTAATATTTATATAACATGGCATAGGTCAAGAAGAACACTTAATTTGCATCAATAATATATAACAAATGAACTGTTACTATTATCTTCTGTTTACATGTCGTCCTCTGCTGGTATACTTAAATTACTACACCTGTCGCTCAGTTATGACGCAGTTCACGTGTGTTTTTCAAGCATGGTGACCTTCCTGTATATGCAGCCGGGTTTAGGAGAACTGAAGACCAACGAATTATAAATTGTTAAACTTTAAATGGAGTAAGTGGAATTTCAACAAGCCGTATATTCACTTTGAGTTCTTATTTAGCTGGTAAACATATTGTTGTTAATAATTGCAGCTGTTATTTTCTAGGTTTAGTTCACTGAATGGGATCTCAGTACATCGTCTTTACTTTTGGATTATATGTTATGCTATAATCTGAAGTAATGGCTGTGCAAATGCCCTTTGGTGGATTTCTGTTTATGCACAGACTGATGAGAACGTGCACATCCAGTCAAAGACATCTCAGACACGGAGAGATGCTAGTAAATCTCACTATAACTAGACAAGAGATAAGAACATTTTCAACTGGTTCTGTGAGGTGTAACAACAATGAGAGAGAGGATTCAGACTCTTCACAGCTGAGCACCAAGCTGACATCCAAACAAGCACTGATGGCCAGGAGGAGGAGACCCTTGTCCCCTCTGGAGAGGATAAGCGGTCTGCTGCCCCAGGATGCCCTGAGTCCAGAGGTGATGCAGCTGAGAGAGCAGAACCAGCAGGAAGCTGAAGGAGGTACCGACACCCAGGGATCAGTCACACACCGCACACAACAGGAAAGTGGACATACTGACACACTCGCAGCAGATGAGACAACACCTAAAGGGAAGGAATCCGATAACCATCATGCATCTGATGTAGCCATGGTACCAAACACTTCAGAGAGGCGGACATCAGCCACTCTCCCAGGGGACAGCTTGATTGTGTTTGGGGAGCTGCTCATCGCTGAGTATTATAAGAAAGGACAAGTTGAGTTCAGGAAGATGTTCAAGCCTCAGAAAGGGACTCGTCTGCACAGCAGCTGGGGGTTTATCCTGCATGACAACATAGTCGGGCTGCCCGCAGGTCAGTTCCTGAAGACAAGCATGGGGCTTCCCATTCTCATACGGCGGGCCAGCCTGGAGGATTATGTGCTGTATATGAGGAGGGCGCCCGCCATCGCCTACCCAAAGGTACTTGTTTGTATCTTATGTATTGATTTCTGAGTGTTTCGGGGTTGCACTAGTCCTCTGCTCTTCTCAAAGACATTGTGTACTTTGTTTCTTTCTCTCTGCCACCCTCTTTTCCAAGGATGCAACCACCATGCTGATGATGATGGACGTCACAGAGGGAGACCGTGTCCTCGAGTCAGGCTCCGGATCAGGGGCCATGTCTTTGTTCCTGTCCAGAGCAGGTCTGCAGCCACTTTACTGTCCCTCTCTCTCTGGCTTTCTTCCATTAAGACTGAAATGGTTATATTTACTGTTTTATGAAAGAGAAACTTGTTGTTGATTAAAGGAATTATTCACAAAAAACATGCACATTGTAAAAAAACAAAAACTGTAAAACATAATTAGCTTGAACTCTACAATTTCACAGTTGTTGCTGTCGATTAAAATCTTGTTACTTTTTGTTTTCTGAAGTATTGAATAACTGGACACTGTTCACTGTAAGCGCTGTTTGGAGTTTCACAGAAAAGTAATCCATCATTCAACATGCTGTATGTAGTGCATGTTATAATGAAATATCTGAAGGTTATTGAATTGAGTATGTTTTTGTTTTTCCCAGTTGGGTCTAAGGGCAGCGTGCTGAGTGTGGAGGTCAGGGAGGACCACCTCAGGAGAGCCATGTTGAACTACAGTCGCTGGAGGACATCATGGAGTCTGCGGCGAGGGGAGGACTGGCCCGACAACGTTCAGTTTCACAACGCTGACCTCTGCACGGCTTCCTCGCTCCTCGCTGGCCAGGGATTCCATGCGGTCAGTGTCTGGTTTAAAGGTGGTACTGCACAGAACAATTCATTCATTCAGTGGTTGTACTAACAGTAATGCAGCATTACATAAACAGATTTATTAAGGTTATGGGAATTACATTTCATGACATCAGCTCATTCACCAGATGGATTATATCTGTTGCAGATTGCTCTTGACTTGACGAACCCTCACCTGGTTTTACCCACTGTGATTCCACATCTGCACCCTGGAGCTGTATGTGCTGTCTACCTCGCCAAGTGTGTATCTACTAATTCATTGTCTTTCAAAGCAGATTTAAGATGTGAGGTTAAATCAAGTTGGATACATTTTACTATAAAACCATGCAGTGGCTTCTTAGTATATATAGTTTAAAGAAATAGTTAAACATCTTAAGAAATAGACTTTATCGTTTTCTTCCTTAGAGTTAGCTGAAAAAAACAGCACCACTCTCATATTTATGCAGTAAATATGAAGCTATAATTCATCTGCTGGTTGGCTTAGCTTAGCATGAAGACAGGAAACAACAAGGTTTTATTATTATTAAACATATTAATTGCTTCTTATGTACTATTAAGAATTCAGAATGCAGCACATACAACGTACAATCTGACTTTCACATTACGAACTTATTCAGTACATAAAGAAGTTAATATGTGATTGAACAGATCTGAACAGTATAACTTTCTATCCAGTGACACAGGTGTAACTGTGTGACAGTTTATCAATACCAGTATTGCTTTAATCCACCTTCTTCCTTAACTTTTGTTTCAAATTACCTGATATCTGCAGGATCTCAACTGCTCACTGACTGTCCTGCTATAACCCAGTATAACACAGGTCGTTGACCTGCTAGAGGGCATCCGGTGTTTGGCGCTCCCTTTATTGTGTGAATGCATCATTGAGGTTCCGATCCGACACTGGTTGGTGGCCCCAGCCCGACAGAAGAACGGGCGGTACTGCACCAGGAAAGCTCCAATCCTGGAAGAAGACCACAGTGAGGAGGAGGAGGAGGAGGAGGAGGAGGAACGAGCAGATCAGACTGAAGAAGGTGATTTAAAGTAACATCGCAGACGTCTGACAAATGTGATGTTTTTGAACTTTTCTTTCAGTTGAAATTGTACTAATATATTTCAGAAGAGTTGGCTGCAGATGAACACCCGGCCTTTGGGGGTGTTCCCTACATTGCAAGACCTTGCCCTAAACAACTAAGCCACACAGGTCAGATGCTGCCACATTTCCTGTAGTCCCAGTGTAAAGGTTCATATTTGAAGATGATGTAAATAAATGCTCGTCTGTCTACTTTTGCATTTTTCAGCTTTCCTGGTGAAACTGAGGAAGTTTGTTCAGTAGCTGCTCTGCCTGGAAGGAGTCCTGGACAAAAATGAATATTTGATGATGTAATATTATCTTATTGTAAATAAAATATCAAATAAAAACTGACATCACAACATCAGTTTTAGTCTATTTTAATGTGTTTTAGTGCACAAAGCAGATTATAAAAAATCTCAGAATGACTCATTTAAGTTCAACCCTTTATTGGAAACTCAAGAGGCAGTGTTGGATCATTTAACAGGCACACTGGCAACATTACTAGAAAACACACCTAAAAGAATTCCAGTATGGTGAAGACATGTGAACTTAAACTTAGCCAAAATTTCAGAAACTCACCTGACAATTTCTTTTTCATCTGTGAATAAGTGCTTCAATAAATAAATAACCAATACATAAATAAATAAATAAATAAATAGCTAGCAGGAACTCAGTGCAGGTTAAACAGACTTTACAATAATACTCTTTGGCATGTCACAATCTTAATGTATGTTTCCATCAGAGTATGATGTATAGAACATCATTAGCTCATTCTCAGTCACTTGAACATTTAACTTTGTTCTGACAAGTTATGAAAAAAAATCAGCGTGTTTGCAGAGATCAACACAAACTAATGAGTTACACTTGTGATTCAGATCTTTACTTCAGAGTCAAAGTGCTATTCAAGAGGAGAGAAGATAATACAAAGAACTGCTCTGTCATTATGAAGAGGGAAGTAGTATAACTGCTGAGGTGGTGACACCCTACTCCTCACTAATCCAGTCCATGGAGGTGTCATATGCAGATCCACAAGTAGACTCATCCCCTAACAAAGAGGGAAGACAGAAAAATGTTGTTTAGTTCAATGGAACTTCCCTGTTTATGTCCAATCATTTACACTCATTAACAATAAGGCATTGGCTGTGTGAAATAGCACATCTGCTCTTTTTCCTCGAAGGTAATTTTATTGCATAAAAAATGTAAACTCACTGAGCACTTTATGAGGGAAATCATATTAATACTAAAGGCCTCCCTTTGCGCTCAGAACAGCCTCAGTTCTTCATGGCATGGATTCCACATGTTGGAAATAAGTTCTTTCAGATTGTGGTGCAGGTGGATGTGATTCATGCTTCAATCTCACATTTTACCACATCCCAAAGGTGTTCTATTGGATTCAGATCTAGTGACTGCAGAAGCCATTGAAGTACTGAACTCTTTGTCATGTTCATGAGACTTTTGCTATTAGACGGTAAATTGTGGCCATAAAGGGATGCACATGGTCAACAGCAAAACTCAGACAGGCTGTGATATTAAGACCATGATTGACTGGTATGAAGGGTGTCAAGAAAACACATGCCATTACACAACCACCAGCAGCCTGGACTGTTGACAGAGGACAGGTTGGCTCCATGGATTCATGCTGTTCATGTCAAACTCTCACCCTACCATCTGCTGCCTCAGCAGAAATCCAGATCCATCAGACTAGGCTACGTTTTTCCGGCCCTCAACTGTCCAGTTTTGATGAGCCTGTGTCCACTGCAGCCTCAGATTTCTGCTGTTGTAGCCAATTCACCTCAAGGTTGACACATTGAGCTTTCTGCTCACCACTATAGAGCGGTTATCTTGAGTTACTGTAGCCTTACTGTCAGCTCCAATCAGTCTGGTCATTCTCAGCTCAGTGAATGTACAGTGTGCTAGTCTATAAAACACTAAAAGGAAACTTTACCCAAATATTACCAGAGGAAGAGAGGTGCTGCAGCCTGTCAAACTGACTCCAATTCAAAGTTTACACTGGGTACACAAATGTGTTCCAGTGGGGTGTCTCCCTAAGCAGACATGAGCAAAATGAATTTGAAAAGAAACATGAAAAATACTCTAAAACGGTATTATAAGGAGTCATCCACTTGCTAGAATAAATCCTATCCTATTCTTAAACTTAACATTCAGGCTCTTTTTCAAATTTAAGTCGGTATCACTGGGATATAACACAATCTTTTCCAGTTTAACTTTGTAATCCAGCTTTGTGAAATTCCCCCCAGGTGTAATCCTGCTAAATCACATCTACTCACAATCCTGATACAGACACCCTGAAATATGAGATGGAAATGAGAGTCAAGTTTCCATGATTTATTTTCAATGGCCTTAAAAATTTCTTTTTTTTTTTTTTTTTTCTTTTTTTTTTATAAAACAGACTCTTCTCAAAGCAGCACTTTTTACACAAAGAAATGTTGTACGCCTGGGACTCTGTGGTATAAACGTAAATCTTAATGTGCAGTCTACAGCTACAGCTTTCAGCTTTAGGCATGTTACTATGTGCAAGTAAGTTGAAGACAGTAAACTTTGATTAATATAGCTGCTGTTCGAGACAGCTGTTACTCTTAAGCTCACATTGAACCTCAAAGTAAGTGGTGATTTAATGAAGATGTGTGTCATCAACTCTGAAGGTCATTCTGTTGTCTTTTCACTTGGCAACAACATATGCACCATTAAAACATCAGAAAAATGTCTAGTTTATGGCTCTTGCAAGTTCTCAAGCCTCTTAATCTTTAACCCTCTACAGTATGTGCTGGGTGCAGGAATTTCTTAATCGACAATGCTTCTATGTTAAGTTCAAAAACTTTTGTCTTAAAATGCTTATGGGAAATGGGGCTCTTTTCAGGGTTAATCCCGTTTGTGACTTCAGCACTCAGTGCAGTACTATGTTATTCTGTCACATAGTTTTCTACACAAACCTCTTTCCAGGAGTTGGTTGTACCATCAAAGGTATTTTGTAATCCCACAGATGTCTTCTATCTGGTGAGAAACTAACATTTTATTTTATTTCATCAGACTGCCTTGGCCTCTGCCAGGTAACGGGTAAAAAAAAATATTGTTTGGCTTTTTCCCCTGAGGTTTGTGTGATGCTATGTAACTGAATAATGGAGTAACAGACATAATTATGAGATCACAATTAGGTCTAGATCAGTGTGCGACTATGTCCAGTTTTCCCTAGCTATGGTTGGAGGAGAAGCACATCTGTATTTGAGATACCTACTAGGAACCTCCTCAGCACAGCAGCAGGAGGAGTGCTGCATGCGGCTTTTAGTCTCCGCCTTCCTGCAAGAGGCTGCAGCGTTGGGTGGGCTGATCTCCAAAGCCAGCAAGGAGGTGAATGGGTGTGGATAGGTGGTGTTTGGGGTCTGTGAGGAGCCAAGGCCCTGATCTAACCTGGTGCTGCGGTTACAGAGGGCACAGGAGACTGGGGAGGCAGAAGGCCCACGAGGAATACGGGAGTGATCTTGGTCACCGTAGTGTCGTTGGGCGCCGCTATGGTGCTCTGATCTCTCTCGCTGCCACGCAAAGTGAGAGGGAACAATGGCCATCACCTACAAGGAAAGAGGTAGAGGAGACACAGACCAATAAATAAATAAATACAGCTCCAATAGTAATAAATCCTAAAGAAACCATATCACAGCAAAGCTAGAATCTCGCAGTTGTATACAGCCATGTCTCCAGACTCATAATATAGACTCATAATATATGTAGTTAAGAATTTGAAGGAATTTAATAAAAGGTATTACATGTATTTTATCATAATTAGCATATGAATTCTTGAATTATGGCCACAAACAGCGATATTTGACCATCAAATTTTAATCAGTGCATCCTTGAGTCCAAATGAATGTTTGTGCCAAATCTGAATAAATTCTCTCGAGGTGTTCCTGAGATTCCTGGCGCAGAGGCATAAAAATACAACACAGTTGGAACTTCTGGCATTAAACCAAAGTTATAAAAATTGCACTGGGCAGCAAAAACAAGCCTCTTAAAAAAACCCCAGAGAAACATCATTTATCAGTCTCTTCAGGCAATTTCACTTGTGTGTACCTCTTCGCAGCAGCGCCTGCTGACAGCAGCTCTGTACTGGATACGACCCCACAGCTTGTCTCGCTGTTTGAGGAAGCGGGGAAACTGCTTCCTCCAGTTCTTGCCCAGCGCCCATGGAAAAATCTCATACTTACTCTCCTCCTCATCCTCCTCCATGGTGTTAGCAAGATACCTGGCGGTGGAGCACAGCAGCACATTTATGCCAGCAAATCAACATCGGGGGGGATATAATCAGTGGAACAAAATGTTTGCTCTTTATTATAATATCAAGATCTTTTCTCTAAAACTTACAATGCAACGAAAAAATTCTTTCTGGTGTATTCAGCAATGGTGAAGTGGGCCCTTTTGAAGTACACAAAGGTCATGGCAAGAAGGTACTGATGAATTAGGGAGAAAACTTCGATTAGTTAATGTGAGTATCATAAAGCTTCAGAAACAATCTGAAGCCAAAATAACTGCTTTACCTTGTCTGTCATTTTACGGCAACAGTCCATCCACAGGAAGTCTTGAATAAGGTCATTGTCTGTAAAAGAAGTATTGTAAGCCTTTGCAGCTTATTTTAATCACTTGGATACAACTGACTTAAAACATGCAGTTTATCTTATTATTATTCACCAAAAAGTCTGAAGTATGATGCCATTTCCTGCTGCTGGATGACAATAGTTGGAGGCATGGTCATTTTGGCATAATGCACCTCATCCTGACGCTGGCTCAGATGGCTCTTCCCTGGTGGGCCCTGGGCGTCTTGGCCGTTGGCTCTTTTAAGCCGGAGACCTCTTCTGATTTGAAGAGTGTGGGCACTGTTGGGTTTGACCCGGACAGTCACTGAGGGGGGAGTCTGGCACCACCTGTGTGGTTGCTTCATCATCTGAGGTGAAGAGCGTTTTGGTGTGTTCTGAGAGGCAATGGAGAAGATCTATCAGCGTAAAAAATTAACAAATAACATTAAGTGAAAATCCAAAGCAAAATTCATTCATATTCCTTGGTGAACATACATAAAACATAGGTTTAGCCTTAATTCATCTTGGCAATCAGACATTAAATTAGCTAGCAAAACTGCTGACAGCTCCCAGAAGCTAACTTTAATGTTATTTCAATTTATGTATACCGTGTACATTGTGTGCTCTGACAATAAACACAGCAAACAAGTATTAAAAATTAGGTTAGCTGTAATATAAATGGCAGCTGCTGCGGTTAAAGTGAAAGTTTAAATCTCCTCAACCAAGTCCTCACCTCCACGGAGCTTCCAGTTAACTTCAGTGAGTGAAACAAAGATGAATAAGAAGCTAGAAAACCGAAAAAAAATGTCTGATTTCAGTGTAATTAACACAACGGGACAGAACCTGGTGGCGGTAAAAAAAAAAAAAAGAGGTGAATAATATCCTCCAGTTCTGACAGTTGTAAAAAGCTAAAACTGACACAAGTCGTTACAGCCAGACTGGAGGAGATGGTAGTTTGGGAACGCGCGTCTGGCTCCGTGCCAATCACCCAGCAGCATAACCGCACGCGGGGACGAGCGGACCAATCACGTTTCTTCTTCTTCTTCTTCTTCTTCTTCTTCTTCTTCTTCTTCTTCTTCTTCTTCTTCTTCTTCTTCTTCTTCTTCTTCTTCAAGTAATGGCGAACAGTCAGCTATAATGTATGTGCAAAACAACAATGCATTAAATGACGACTTCACAGAGATTACAGAGACAGCTGAAAATAACTAAAAAGGGAAAATACAAATGCAAAACAATTACACCAGTTTAAATGTGTATAGGAAGAAGAACTGGCAAATGGGTTACATAGTACAGGGATAGGGTACTGATGGTAATTCTCCTTTTTGGATTTGTGGTCATGCTATGATCTGAGTCCTTGTTTGAGGCACAAAGTAAAAGGCACATTGATTAGACTGCTGAGCCTCAGCCATACTAAAAAGATTCAGTTTATACTAATTTATACAAAATTATTAAACATCATATTTATAAAGGGCTATAAGGGATATTCACTTATCACATAAATGTAAACAGAACTTTACAGAGTTACCTAATGAGATGATTTAAGATGTTTTTATGAAAACATTTATTTCGTTGACATAGTGTTGTGATAAGTTAAAGTAAGACATTCCCATAAAAAGTGAACATTAACATCCAAATTCACCTGTTGAAAGTTATGAGTCACATCGTGGTTCAGTATACACTACTGTCACTTTAATCTAAACCATAGCTCTTAATACACTATCTTATTTATTTTATTTCATTTCTGCTGGTCGTTTGTTTCCATTACATTGTGTTAAAAAGAAAGGCCTATGAGGAATGATTACTATAATCTTTTCTTTCTTTAATTAAGTTTGTTGTCCACTATAGAGAGGCAGCAGTAGTTCATGTTATTTTAAAGTTTGCCTCACTGTTCCATTAAACTGATGCTGGATATAGAAGTTAAAAGAAGATCAGTCACTCATCATAAATAACTGACTGACAGAGCAATATAGGCCTTTTGGATAATATGGCCAATATATCATAAAAGTGATGATAGAAAAGAAATATTAGTGCATGTTTTCTAATACAATTAAAATGAAACACTTTCACTTCGATTTTGCTGTTGTTTTGTTTTTCCCTTTTTGCTATGGAAATGGCTCCAGGGCTAAATAGGGAGATATTGTTTTCTCGGCTATAAAAAGCCACCTGAGGCCAGCCCTCATTACCCAAATGAGCTTATGGTCTTACAAGTAGGTGAGTTTTATATGCTTTAACGTGACATATGTGCACACTGAGGAGTTCACCGAAAGCCTTACTAATCCTATCAGCTGCTTGTCCTTTGCAAGGAACAGAGGGATGTGTTTCAGAGGACACTACAAGGAAATTTTTGTAAACATGACCACCAATCTGTGGATTTATTTTGCCTATCTATGACGGGTGGAAGAGACTTGTAAAATGGATTTATCAATATTTTGTTTTGGTAGCTTCCTCCTGGAAAGGGATATTATCAGACTCGACAACCTCAACAACCTCAGTCATCTGGCAATGACGGATACAGCAGGTGGCTAAAGACCTTGGCTATTCTTTGCATCATTCACTGCACTGTCTGCTCTGCTGTGTTGGTGTCTCTAAGAAGACATAAAAATCAGATTGTATTTGAAAACATCTAAAATGGGCTGCTCACCATCCAAGGGAAACAATTTTGGGACCCTGGGTTCCATAAGGAAGAGCAGAATGCTGCCCCCTCCACCTCAAGAAAGCACCAGACAGTCCCTGTTGGAAGAGGAAGAGAATCCTAATTCAACTGCATCTACAGATGGGGATACAAAGGAGAGGAGGACATCTGGACAAACCCAGGTATTTCAGAAAGAGGCACATATGTTACCACAAAAAGAGAGATCTGTCACTGAGCTTGCCCCAGAAGCAGTAAACATGGATAAATTGGGGAACAACAACATTGTGTCCCAGAGAAAAGAGAAAAATTATGACAAGCAGGATGTACCAGAGAAAAAGTTGGGCCGAAAACCAAAGAAAAACACCAGAGGTGTGAAAGTTCCTAAAAAGAAAGACAAAGACAAACTATCAGCAGAGCACAAAGTGGACTTCCCAGAACCTCTGGTTAAAGCTCACCAAGCTGCTTATGCCTTTTTGAATCCTAACATAAACAAATATGATGTCCTGCTTGGACTTTTAGAACAAGCAACCCAAACTCAGGTTTCTGTGCAGCCTATGGTTGCTTTTATGGCTCTACGCTACCAGGAAATAATTCAGGGACTGGAAGAGATGGCAGACGAGGGAGAGAAAGTCTTAAAAGAAAATGGAGAACATCTTGCTTGGCCAAGTCAAATGAAAAACCTCTCATCTTCCCCACCTCTGAAGTCTGGCTCTACTAATATTGAGCCCCCACCGGATTTGTTGCAGCAGCTGCTTCAGTATACCACACAGAGAATGCGAAATGTGAGCCAGACTGTTGGTGGAATTGGGGACTCTGCTTTGGAGGAGGCAGTGGAGTACTTTGCCTCAGTCTCAGAGCTTTTAGAGGAGAAACTGAAAGTCAAACGTGCAGTAGAGACTAGGCTAACACAACTCTTAACTCGTATTGAAATGGCTTCTCTGCGCAAGCCTGGGCCAGAGGACTCTGCTCTGTTTAGTGAGGACAGTGGTATTGGGGCTGAAAGTGAATCACTCGCTGGATCTGAAAGACGCCATAGACGAGAGAGTTGTGAGTCAACTGGAACAAATAGAACTACTCCTGTCAGTCCAATGGGATACACCTCCATGAACATGAGGCAAGGAGTGTCAAGGCAAAAGCTTCTAAGTAAAATAAGTCCAAGTGTTTCTCTCACCTCACTCAACTCACTAGGTTCTACATGTACCATAATGGCAAATGACCAAAGAGACTCATTGCTAGGATCAGTCTCTTTAGATGATGGGGAGGAGGAGGACGATGATAATGAGGAAATGGATAGATGCATGGGAGATGTGCAAGTAGGGTTTAGAAAGCATTCAAATTCGTCACTGGTAGACCGTGACCAACAGCACCCACGTCGCCTACCCTCAAAGCGCATAGAGAATCCTCAAAATGTAGAAATGACTCTCAAAATGAAAAATGCTATAAGTGGTAGGATACAGTTTGTCCCATCACAGAACCCTAGTGCCAAAACAAAGGTAGCAGGCAGCCCAAAAAACAGAAGCCGCCAGTGGACAGATGAGGCGGAACAATCTCCAAGGAGACCTCAAACAGCAGCACCTGTTCGGAAGGCATTGGTAAAAAAGACCCCAGTGGCTAGAGAGCAACGTTCCCGGTCAGCAGAATCCCTGCGGAGCAAAGGTGAAGATCCTACTCTGCTTGAACTAGAAAGGACTCAGAAAGATTTAAACCAGAGGTTGCAGAGGATGAGTAAAAGCAAGACAGGAGTAAATACTAGGACTACTCTGTCTAAGCAAAATCAAGGAAGCTCACCAGCACATTCTCCGGCAATAAATCGCAAACATCCATCACTAGAAAAGACCAGCAATCCCCAACCACTTAAGGACAAAGCAGACTTAACAAGGCGCAACAATACAAAAAAGGAGGTACCCAGTGATGTGGAAGATGACAAACAGAAGAACAAGAAAACATCTAAGGGTCCTTTAAAAGCCACCCCACCCCCCAGCCCTCCTTCATCACCGCGACCATCTTCAGGCCTTCACAGAGGAAGGAATTCGGTCAAAAAACTGATTGATACCTTTAGTCAAGGAATAGATGAACTTGACAGTCCTAAGGTTTTGGGGCCCCTTAAAGGAGTACGGAAGTGTGGTGTTCCTATTTTACCAGGTTTAGGAAATGTGGAAGCTGTGCTTCGTGCTGGGATTACCAGCTGTAGGCCTGAATCCATCTCATCTGAGAAAACTGATGATTTAGATCTGGATAGTCTTCCTCCGCCTCCATTGGAAGTATTAATGGACAATTCTTTTGAAGGTGCCCAGAGTCTCTCAAATGGTGCAGCAGATGATGGGGCTACAAAAGTTGGCAAATCACCTGTGTTAAAAAGGACTGTAGTATCACAACGACTGAGGGCCTCAGTTCAGTCAGTGCTGCCAAGCAAAGGAGGCTTGCGACAAGCTTCAAAGGTTATTTCTCTTACTAGAGCAGATCAGCAAGACACATCTGCTCTGTCAAAGGTTAGCGAACCAGATACTCAAGTGGAGGCAGACCCAAGAAAGGAAAAGGATTCATTGAACAAGCAAGCCAGAAAGATTATACACCTAAGACTCTCTTCAGACTCTCAGACAGAGAGATTGTCAACAAATTATGTAGAAACCAGTCCGCCTGCCAGTCAAGAAGAATCCACAGACTTTCAAGATGCTGGCAACATTTCAGTGCCTGGATCTAACACTACAGTGTCTACATTGCCTCCTTCTTCAG